GAAGCAGTCTTCCTAAAAGTGTACGAGTCAGACTTCTTCAAAGTGCAGAAGCAACGGCAATTCACTTGCTAAGCCCAGAACTTTGCATACAGAAGAAGCTCGTTCAATCACTACACTTGAAATGAACGTAATGTGTCTCAGTACCCGACAGGTAAATTCGATTTCTTTCCGTCTTTTCAGTAGTATTATTTTGTCTTTACAATTGGAACATTTTACATTCTCAACTTCCTGTTCTCTACCCTCACCCGATTTTATTTCTACACTTCATTACCGATGCTACTGACTTGACCAACGTTCAATTTCTAGTCGTCAATTTTACGTCATCCAATTTATCTGCTCACTTTTAGTCCTATTTTAATGGCATTATTCCTTCCCTTCACCACTACTTAGTCTCTACCTGTAATTACCTCTGTTGCTATCCTGACGTAGGTTGAAGCATTACAGTCAATTATATTACGTCGTCATCTAACTTACTAACTAACTCCATCTTATTTTAGTTGCTGTCTAATTAACCTTGTTCCTATATTAGATCATTCTTGTATCACCTGATTAATTGTCTAAACTTGAAAACCTCAAGTACACACACAAATAATTATATATAGGTGCGATTGTACAGCTATGTGAATGAATTCGCCGTCAAAAAGAGTCTCTTCGCTGAACGTCTTCTCTTTTTCATATCACTCAACGAGGATTTTTAAGCTAATTAAACAATATTTTGTAATCGGTTTCAGCCTAGCACGTTTGTCTTGACTGTAATGCTTCAACCTACGTCAGGATAGCAACAGAGGTAATTACAGGTAGAGACTAAGTAGTGGTGAAGGGAAGGAATAATGCCATTAAAATAGGACTAAAAGTGAGCAGATAAATTGGATGACGTAAAATTAACGACTAGAAATTGAACGTTGGTCAAGCCAGTAACAGTGGATTTCGCCTGATGGACATACCAAAAACCAAATAGATTTCACGTCACTGTTGCTCATGGAAGTGGAGATGCAGCCTGCTGGACAGAAAGCCGAGAAGGAGAGCATTTGTGGTGTCAGACCGGCACATATTTCAAGGAACATTCAATGGAAAGCTGAAATCCTTCAAAACAACCGAAAACAACCCACAATTCAAGTTGAACATTCAGAAACTGAAGGACAAAACTACAAGGGATGCCTTCACTACAGATCAGTTCAGAGTAAAGTCGGAGACACCACGTGGTATCACTAAGGAAACCTGCATGGAAGAACACTGGAACTCTTTGATGGTGATATTCAAGGAAATGTGTACAAGTAATCCAGGAAGAAAGACGAGACACGACAAGGAATGGCTCTCAACGAATACCTACCTGGAAGCTAATCGAGGAGAGGGGGATGGTAAAAGAGATGATGACTCAATGCAAAGATGGACAACAGAAGGAGGAGCTCAGCTCAATGTACACTGCAGCGAATCAAGAAAGACGTGAGGAAGAATGCTAGGATGGACAAAAGACAATTCTACAACACACTGGAGGGCTGTAACTGAAGCAGAACAGGCAGGTGGGTTGCAGGTAAAAGACTTCAGAACATTATAACAGATAACCAGGTCTCTATCCGGGAAGAGATCAACGCAGGTGTAACCTACAAAAGATGCTCAAGGGAAGCTAATCAGCAAGGAGGAGAAACAAATAAAAGAGTGGGCTGATCACTTTAAAGGACTCCAGAATCAACCATCACCTATAACTCACCCAGAAATACCACAACAGCACGCAGAGAACCGCCAGTTGACACTAATCCTCCAACGGAAGCAGAAATCCTAAATACGATCAAGCTACTCACAGCCGGCCGGGAATTCAGCAAGACCAGATGGAATTGCCTCCAAATCACTAGAAAAGCGGACCCAGAGACTGCAGCAGATGTGCTCACACCATTATTGGAAAAAGGTTTGGAAAAAAGAAAGGTACTTACCGATTGGAAGAAAGGCTGCCTTGTCAAGCTGCCAAAGAACGGTGACATAGGCTTGTGCAAGAACTGGCGTGATATAAGGCTCTTGTCCACGCCAAGTAAAATACTAAATTGCATCCTCCTGGAGAGAATAAATGATGCACTGAATGCAGAACTCTGTCCGGAACAAGATGGATTCGGGAAAGGCAAGTCATCCGCTGATCAAATTGCGGCTCTCCACACCGTCTTCGAACAAAGCATAGAATGGCAGTCAAACCTCTGCCTAAAATTCATCGACTTCGAAAAGGCATTCGACAGCAAAGACCGGGAAGTAATTTAGAAATTACTTCAACACTACGGCGTGCAGTACCCAAATCTTCATCAACCTCAGCCATGGTACGTGTCAGGTGATCCACAATGGAAAACTCAGTGGTGCGTTTTGAAGTGAATACAGGTGTAGGACAAGGTTACCCGTTATCGCCAACGATAATGCTCCTGATTGCGATGGACTGGATTGTGTGGAAGAACGTGCGTAAGGAGCGAGAAGACAGGGAAACGTTCCATAAATAAGAAGACGCTAGAAGATCTGGGTTTCGTGGTTGATTTATGCCTAATATCACATAAACTGTAAAACTTTCAGATGGGAACCAACAAACCGGCGGGAGAAGCAGCGAAGAAATGACTTCAAGTGAACACAGGGAAGACGTTGGTGATGAAGATTAATAACCAACCAACAATGACAAGCACCAACGACTATTAACAGAAGAAATTTGAAAGAGGCAACTTCCTTCACTCATTTAGGAAGCATCGTTTCAACCATATGCAGTGTGAACGGATGAAGATGTGAAAGCCGGATGGCCAGCCAGCTAGAATCGGAGAGGCAAGGTACTGTTTGATCAATTTCAAACCAGTTTTGGAATCTTATGCACTCTGACTCAACATAAAGAACAGGATTCGGGTTCTCAACACGTATGGGAACTCTATCCTTCTATATGAGTCAGAAACGTGCAGTGAGTGCCCCAAAGAGTATTTGCAACAGCCTGCTGCAGACTTTCATCAGCAGCCATCACCTTCACTGGCTGGCTCCATACTGAAGACAAATGGCCAGCTAGTCAATCGGAAAGAATTGCCAACAAGAAAATCTGACAATGAACGAGCCACCAAGAGCCGATCTCTCAGCAAAAATGTAGGAGAAAATGGAGATGGATCGGGCATACGTTGAGGAAACTGTTTAACGATATCACGCACAATGCAGGCCATCGTTCGAGTGGAATCCAAACGGGAGATTTTGAGAAGAGGAGGTGAGAGATTATGGGTAATCGTGGACTAAGAGAACGGCTGAAAATAGAGCAAAGTAGAGATGTGTCGTTGAAGCCCCATCTTCCACTGGACACACAAGGAAGTAATAATTATGAGAACTCCTATGAGAAATTGTGGGGTTTTCTTGAGACATATACAAGGAAGCTATCCTATGGAACGCCTTTTTTAACGTTGCATTACTCATATGAGGACGCCTTTTTCAAATTACGCACTTCTGCTCCGGACGCACCTGATTGTGCGATAGGGATTTATCAGTGTCTTTAATAGGTAGTTTCGTTTTAGGCTACTATAGTTTAGAGTCACAGATTATGCTATATCAGAATGGACAAAAAGGAATAAACCTGTCTGTTAAAAATAGATTTGTCAGCTGGTTTGTTTGAATGAGCTGAGAACTTGAAGGTTGAAAGTTCAAGGGCAGGCCTAGGCTATCAGGCGTGCAAGGATGGCCGTTTTGAAGCAGTCGCCCATACTTTGTCGTGGACATACGCGGCCGGTTATTGACCTTAGTTTTAGTTCTAAATATGCCGTTGATAATCTCTTGCTTACGGCCTCAAAAGGTTTGTTTTTTAAAAGTACCATTTAAACGATGATTCCTATACACGCATCAAACAAACGGTCTCTGAGAGCTTTTTATAGGTGGTTTAGTTGTTTCGGGATGAGTTCAGGTGGCTTGGAATAATTTCAAAACATTCAAGGGAGTTCTGATGCCTTCTTCGCAAATTGTAGCATAAATATTGTACCAGATACCCAATTTTTATATGGTTATAACCACGTAATCACTGGGTAGACGCACCAGTAATCTTGAAGCGGTCGACTGCATTTTGAAGCAAATTCGTATATTTGACTTTATAATATGGTGTATTTTTATCATTATGGATCCAGAACGCAGCTCATCTTCTGAAATTTTTGTTTGAAAACATCTGCTTACGTCAATTAAACCAGTATATAGAGTTTTTAACTTTGTTATTATTCTGGGTGACGCAAACGGAGACTGTCTGTATTCACATGTTTCATCTGGCAGTCATTTCTGTGTCTTGTATACTTATCAATGTACAGTTGCAGATTTACTGAGTCATGCGATATTCAATTATGTGTCGGAGATATGCTTGACTGACGAATGTCTTAGCAGCCTTGCAATTCGATAGACTTAGCATTGTTTATGGAGAGTGGATTTGTGTCGGGTTAACATGTAAAAGAGAAGACGTTCAGCGAAGAGACTCTTTTTGACGGCGAATTCATTCACATAGCTGTACAATCGCATTCATATATAATTATTTGTGTGTGTGTACATGAGGTTTGTCAAGTTTAGATAATTGATCAGGTAATACAAGAATGATGTAATATAGAAACAAAGTTAATCAGACAGCAACTAAAGTAAGATTGACTTGGTAAGCTAGATGACGTAATGTAATTGACTAAAATGTTTCAACTTAGGTCAGGGTAGTAACAGAGGTAATTACAGGTAGAAACTAAGTAGAAGTGAAATTGAGCAAATAAGTTGGATGACGTAACATAAATGACTAGAAACTGAGCGTTGTTCAAGTCAGTAACAGTGGTAATGAGGTGTAGAAATTGAATCGGGTGGGGGTACATGTACACACACAAATAATTATATATAAATGCGATTGTACAGCTATGTGAATGAATTCGCCGAAAGAGTCTCTTCGCTGGACGTCTGCTCTTTTTCATATGACTCAATGGGTTAATATATGTGTTAATACATTATTACCCTTAGGTGACTTTATATGGTTAATGCAATTCAGTCAGTTATTCAAAATGACATCAGATACGTCTCGGAATGGAAGTCATTGATAACCACAACGGACGACATCGCTGCATAAAGCGATAAACTTATTGGGAATGTCTACTTTTTTGATTCTGTTATCGGATATTCTTCCCTATCTATCATGTTATGTTATTTTGTACTGCTTGTCTTTTTTATTGTCCGTATTGTACTACTGAAATAAATAATATGATCTAAACAAAACAAAATATACTCTGCTAATTCATGAAACAACAGCGAAAGTAAAATGTCTTCATGGTGAGTGGGAACCTCGTTGAGACCTACACTTGTGGCTGTTGTTGTTACGCAAAATACAGTTAAATTAACAGTGTACAAATCCAAAAATAGATGTGTTCCCCCTGAGGATTTTATATAAGATGTATATCAGATGTTTTATTTGCAGAGTACAAATTTTCTAGTACATACTATATTGTAGCTACTTTTTTCATTGAACACTAGTCAGTAACTGGTGTAATTTGTCTAGTCCTATCTTCGATGCAGACTGAATTCTATCAGTCATGTTTGCAATGTGGCCACCATGCTAGGTGGCTCGCCATTACGGTGCACTGGGAATTGTTGGTACTAGATGGTTGTAGGCAGGCAATCGGCAGGAAGCCTTGCTTGACCTAGGTTTCATGCTAGTTGGCACTCATCAGCAAGGCGTATCTGCAACCTTGAAGGAACTGATGTCCCTTCTGAGATTCGAACCTGCGTCACCGAGTGCTGCAGTCAGAGACGTTACCACTGAGCTATTCAGGCTCGCGACTGACCTCCTGTAGGACTGTATTGGTAACGTCTCTGACTGCAGCGCTGGGTGATGCGGGTCCGAATCTCAGAAGGGACATCAGTTCCTTCAAGGTTGCAGATACACCTTGCTGATGAGTGCCAACTAGCACGAAACCTAGGTCCAAGGCTTCCTGCCGATTGCCTGCCTCCAACCATCTAGTACCAACAATTGTAGCTACTGTCTATCATCTGGCCTACTGAATTTTGTTCCCTAGCTTGTTTCTAATTGAGGTAGATTTTTCACAACTGAGTTCTTTCGTATTTTTTTAAAAATTTTTCTGATACTTCAGATTGTAAAGCAATATTGCGTCTAGGAGATACAGGAGATTGGGTGGGGACATTCTTAGGCCATCAGGGAGCTGTATGGTCGTGTGCTTTTGACCTTCATGCCAATAAAGTGGCTACGGGATCGGCGGATTTCAGTGCAAAAATATGGTGTGTCAATACAGGCAAAGAATTGGACTCAATTCCCCATGATCATATTGTTCGCTGCGTTGAATTTAATCAAACTGATTGCGGTTCAATGTTACTCACGGCTGATAACAGTAAAAAGATTTCTGTCTATGATGTGAATTGCCCTCTATCCCGTAAGTGTATATATATATATCTGCTTTTTAACAGTAGCACTGATTTCATTGATATAAGAATAAAACTTGGACACTGTGGTAGAGTATAATTCCATTATGGGTAAATTTTATTTTGATAAAGTCTCACAGTGTTATACAGTAATATTTACTGATGACGTTTCGAGCACAATTTATTGCTTATAAAAAAATAAAAATAATTGTGAAACTAGTAATAAGAACATAAATAAGAGAGAATATAAGTCATCTACAGTTATACCATATAAAGAGGGGACATCTGAGACCCTACGTAGGATTCTAAATAAAGCAGGAATTAGCCTGGTGGCATTTAAACCTACAAACTCACTCAGGGACAAGCTCTGTAGGTTAAAGGACCCAGTGGACCCAATTAGACAAAATAATATAATTTACAAAATACCCTGCAATGACTGTGAGGTCAACTACATAGGTCAAACTAGTAGATCGGGGGTAATCAGATTGTCTGAACATAAGAATTTAGCTAAGGTAAGAATGGTTGACCCCAGCCGAGAAGATAAGTAATTTAGAAAGGCAGCTCAGCACTACATTGCACTGCACGCATTAACAAACAACCACACAATAGCATGGTGGGAGAGGGTTAAGATTCTAAGAAGTAATCTAGGTAGGTGGAGAGAGAGGTTGATTACTGAATCCTGGCTGGTTCATCGAATCTACACCCAACACATGCAATAGAAATGAATCATCACTCATACCTGAAATATGGAAAATAATACTACCAATCAAATCAAGTGAAAATCAAGTGAAAAACAATGGAACTATATAAATGAATTTAGGAAGTCGTGTGATTACCTTGATATGATTATGAGCAGTAATAAATTGTGCTCGAAACTTGGTCATCAGTAAATATTACTGTATAATAACACTGTGAGGCTTTATCGAAATAAAATTTATCCATAATGGGAGCACTGATTTCGTTGTAACGAATTCATTTAATCTGGGTTTTTCTGGCGTTTTCATTTTTTTTTTTAATTATACAGCTTTATCTGTATTTGTGGGGCATGAAGAGACAATTTATCGGGTTGTTTGGTGTCATGGAGATTCACTGGTCCTATCTGTATCAGGAGATAAAACTATTCGGTTAGTAAAACATGTATATGTATATGTATCATAATAGATTTGATGCTTTAACATTATTTACTTTAGCGGTCGGTCGGTCGGTCGGTTTTCGACATAGAACTTTGCACATATGTGCGGCAGTTTAAGTCGCCACAATCTATGTAGCACGCAAAGCAAAAGAAGGAAGTAGAAGAAATGCATAATATAGACAGTAAACAGAGGTGTGGTGAGACAAAGGAATAGTAATAACGGAGAACAAAACAGTTTAATTGGAAATCATAAGTCACAAGGAGTGGATGCATCTGCGCTAGCCACTGAGAACGATTTTGAGCCATGTCACCAATTGTTTCCAACCATTGGTTTTTACCATCCCGCGGGCCCCAACCAGGAAGTCTACATCTTCCTACGTGGCTCAGATTAACTGTTGTGGATTTCATTGATTGGTGCCATGTTTTCGTTTGACCGCCGCTAGCTCTTTTCCAGCCTGGTCCTATATCAGCTAACATTGCCCATTGTCGAGGAAGGCGATGACTAGGCATACGTAGCACATGTCCTAACCATCTCAGTCGATGTAATTTCACCGTTTCGTCGATTGATTTCCCTGCCTTACCTAGCTCTCGACGCCTAACCTGAATATTGCTCACCTTATTATACCACCACCTAACGCGGGAGATAGAACGCAGACACCTATGATCGAAGACAGCTAGCTAATCTTTTCATGTCTTCTGCTCTCAATGGCCAGGTCTCACAGCCATAAAGGAGGACGGAGCGGACTGTTGAGCAGTACACACGCCCTTTGGTCGATAGTTGGATATCGCGTCTACGCCAGAGACGGCGAAAACTGGCGAATGCGAACCTAGCCCTCTGTATTCGTGCTGAAATTTCGTCTGAGATCAACCCGTTGGCACTGGCTGATGGTACTTCCCAAGTAATTGAAGCGGTCAACGTGTTCTACCACTTCACTTCCTATTTCTAATCTAGGGGTCGATGAAGTCCAATCCTGCAGCATCATCTTACATTTTACAGGGGCGAATCGCATGCCAAACATACGGAGATTGTTGCTCAGGGTGTTCAGTAGACTCTGCAGGATTTTGTCAGAGTCCTCGCCTAGAAGGACTATATCGTCCGCATATTCTAAGTCAACGAGATTATTCCCTGGTAGCAAGTCAATCCCTGAGTCGCTGAAGTGTGATAGGGTTAAGTCCATTAGTACGTCTATGATGAAATTGAATAGGAATGGGGATAATGGGCATCCTTGACGGACGCCACTAGTCGTCACCACTTCAGATGACAACTCGCCATAAGCCCTCACCTGGCTGATGGCATGCGTACGAGTAGAGTGCCTTAATCAGTGCAATGTATTTTCTTGGCATATTCCCTTTACAGCCAAGCATCGCCAGAGAACCTCCCGGTCGACAGAATCGAATGCTGCCTTTAGGTCAAGAAATATAATGATTGTCGGACGCCGGTAGGAATGCCTATGTTCTAGAATCTGTCGAAGGGTGAAGATGTGATCAATACACCCTCTACCTGGCCTAAAACCTGCCTGGTTTTCTCGTGTTTGTGTCTCCCGAGCACCACTTAATCTACGCAGTATTATTGAGCCTAGGACTTTAGATACTATATTAGTCAAGCTAATCCCTCTGTGATTATCACAAGACGACTTGTCTCCCTTCTTGTATATCGGGATGATCAGTGACTTACACCAACCCGATGGGACTTCCTCTGATTCCCAGATGCTGCCTAGAACCTCCGTTAACGCAGACAGTAAACTGTCTCCTCCGTACTTAAATACCTCTGGAGTCAATAAATCAGGTCCCGCTGCTTTGCCTAGCTTCAGATTGGTGACAGCTTTAGTAACCTCAGTTAAGGACGGAGGACCTGTGTCTATCTCCCATTCAGGGAGGTGTTGGATGTCCGGCAGGTTAAGTGTGGCTGTGGGCCAATTAAACTGCTCCTCATAGTGTTCTTTCCAGCGCTCCAGACGTCTATCCTGGGAGCTAATTATGGTGCCATTTTTCTCGGAGATTGTTTCGCTTATCATTTGCCTTTTACCACCTGTTTCCCTGATAAGCCTGAAAAGTTGTCTGGTGTTGCCTATCGCCGATGCTTTTTCCATCTCTTTCGCCTTTGTCAACCACCACTGTTCACGGTCCTTGCGGAGACTTTTCGTAAGTTTCCTTTTGTGCAGCTTTCGCTCCTCATTGAATTCGGAGCTCGCCGGAATAAGTCTTCTAGCATCTATCAGTTCGGATGAGGCAGTCGAAATCCAATGGTTTTTACTCACCTTTGGATTTACCTTATTCACAGCTTTTACAGCTGTATCTATGGCTGACTGAGTATTCTTCCAGGCTTCTTCAGGGTGAGCGCAGCTGTCGAACTCAGATATGTGTTTAGCTAGTTCTTCCTCAAATAGGGACTTAGTTCCCTGGTCGAGCTGGGGACGTGATGGGTTTACCGCCAGCTGTTTCCTACGTCCGTTCAGTCGTAAGCACACACGAGCGCGGACCAGTGCGTGATCGGTATCTACACACGTGTTCCAGAAGGAGCGACAATCTCCTACCGACCCACGCCAACGATAGCTTATTGCTATGTGGTCTATTTGTGTCCAGCGTTGATTTGATGATGGGGGTCGGCAGGTCAAACAGTGTCTTTCCTTGTGTTTGAAGTTAGTGCTTACAAGATACAAATGATTATCTGAACAGAACTGTAGGAGACGGTCACCGTTGTCGGTTCGCTGGCACGGAATTCCGTATGTGCCACCGACATTCTTCTCAGATTGACACAATTTCCCTACTTGAGCATTAAAGTCACCAGCTAAAACGACTATATCTGAGCGTCTAGGCTTTCGCAGCAAACTAGACAGCTTTCGGTAGAACTCATCCTTCGTTTCATCCGAACTGCAGTCAGTGGGGGCGTAGGCGGAGATTACGAAAAGGCATCGGCGAGTAGTGCAGTCCTTTCTTCTTTTCACTGATCCGTTCAGACGGACAGCACACATTCGGCTATCTACCGGGATCCAGTCAAGTAATGTCTTTTCTGCTCTAGTACTTAAAGCTATCCCAACACCAGCTAATCCTTGTGAGCTAGCCGTCGCATCTCCTGACACCCTCAAGGTGAATTTTGCAGATTCATCCTGTTGGCCAGGTGGGGTTAGGTGAATAACCACACTTGGGTCTTGTATGCGTGTTTCTGAAACACAACATACATCAATGGCTCGGGATGCCAGAGTCTTGGCTAGTGATGCTTGTTGTCCTATTTGGCAAAGTGTCCTAACATTAAATGCTCTTATATAAAATTGGTGGCGTGGTTTTAGGAAACCATCGGTGGTGGCTTTTTGGCTTGCATCGTTATCAGTGCACACAGAGTGAAGAGGAAGTGAAGAGCCAGCAAGTAGAGGAGTTGCATTGGTAGAAGGAAGGCAAGATAATAGAGATGAAGATGAAGACGAAGATGAGCGAGGATTAGAGGGGTTTCGCGTGCACTTCGGATTGTGAGGGCGATTGTTACTTCGCGGCTGCCCACACCGTGGAAGTTGGTTGCGTGACCGCAGAGCCCAGGGGACAACTGCTTGAGGCCGGTCACACACGGCCTGTTTTTGTTTGTTCTTTTTTATTTGGTGTGTCTCAGTAGCGTATTTATCACTTCTGCCCTGTGACATGGCAGCAGAGAGCGCGGTCGTTGTTAATCCGGGCCCCGACCGATCCGGCATGATGTTTTGTGATTTATTTGAAATCATAGGATTGGATTGGGTAACTGCTTTTAGTCTAACTGCTATCCAAACAACCTTTGCGAATTCTGTAGAAGACAGAGTGTTTTTTGTGAATTGGTCGAGAAATGAATTTTGTTCGACAAGGTTGACAATTGAGATAACAGGATAAAATTTTGGTTTACATTAGTCTGTAATGTGTGTATGTTGTGGTGTATGAGTACTTCGGTGAATGCAACAGTATGCAGGTTGATATGTTATCTGTGAGTATGTGAAAACTGGTGAACCTGTATTGGGTATTGTGTAATAGTAAAAGCGTCTTAACAGGATTGTTTATTGAAGTAAACAGCGTATGAAGAGGTATCAAAGTAGATCGTTCAGCAGTTGAAGAGCATGAAGAAGAGTTTAGTTATGCTACCAGCACTAATACAGATATTGTCAACAATTGCATTGGAAATTTCGAATAGATCCTGGGATAAATCGAAAAAAAATCCGTCACAATAAAAATTTCATTACTATCACATGACGAGTGATAGTTGTGTGGTGTTAGGCGTTCGTAGTCAGTTTTCATTTCTGAATTGAATACGAAATAGCAATAGACAATTGTGGTATGTAGTTCGGAAGTATGCCTTCATTGCTAACTTCTTCGAAAGAACATGTGCGTTACACCAGTTTCCACCTAATGACCACATTGAGTAAACGCGAGTAATGTGTTTTACTGGAATTCTGATGACTGGGTGAATTTCGAAAGAATCACAAGGTAGTCACTAATTTCTCTGACACTTTATTCCGGCTAATTTGTTGTTAATTAAATTGTCTCATGTGAGGCGAAAGTTATCTATGCTCAATGCAAATAATTTAATGTGTAGTGGAATAGGATGTGTCTCCTATATTTGTCTTACTGATATTATATTACTGAGTTGATTATAATGAAAAAACCATGCTCCTCACAGTTAACTCAATAGATTCCATGTGACTATATTAATATCCTAACCATTCCCCTTTTCCTATTTCATATCCATGATTAGGTAAAAGATACAAGTGTGAGGTATGTGGAAAAGAATTCACTGCAGCTAGCAATTTGAAGACTCACATGGTGTCAGTTCATGAAGGTGAGTTTGTTGTTTTGTGTGTTTATTTTGTGCGAGAGTTTCATGTTGACTTGATGAATTTCACGTTTCTCTACTGTGTCACACACATGACCGATGTGTTTCCGCCTTTTGCATTCTAAGGGATTGGTGCAGGTGTAGGGTGTAATTGTTCTGCCTACGATTCTGTAATTTTGCTGGAATTTCCTTTCTGAACTGCTTTTCTCAGAGTCGGCTTCATCGATTTTATTCGTTGAT